ATGGATTTAGATCCTTATATTTTCCACAAAAGTTAACTCAAAATGGACCACACACCCAAATGTAAGAGCTAAAACTCTAAAACTTAGAAGAAAACATAGGCAAGCATCTTCATGACTCTGGGTTGGGCAAAAATATCTCGTGTGACACCAAAAGCACAATCTTTCAAAGGTAAAATGGATGAATTGGGCCGGGCGCGGTGGCTCATGCCTGTAATCCCAGCACTTTGGGAGGCTGAGGCAGGTGGATCATAAGGTCAGGAGTTCAAGACTAGCCTGGCAAACATGGAAAAACCCTGTCTCTACTAAAAATACTAGAAAATTAGCCAGATGTGGTGGTGGGTACCCATAATCCCAGCTACTCAGGAGGCTGAGGCAGGAGAATCACTTGAACCCAAGAGGCAGAGGTTGAGGTGAGCCAAGATTGCACCACTGCACTCCAACCTGGGTGATCGAGCGAGACTTCATCTCAAAAAAAAAAAAAAAAAGAATTGGACTTCATTAAAAGTTAAAAACTTGTGTATTGTAAGCCACCATTATGGAGATGAAAAAAAATCACAGATGGAGAAAATGTTTGCAAATCATATTGATAAAGGATTTATATCTAGAATATATAAAGAAATCTTCAATAAGAAGTAATGCGTGTAAAAGATGGGCAAAGGATTTGAATAGACAGACATTTCTCTAAAAGAAGATATAAGATGGCCAATAAATACTGAAAAGATGCTCAACATCTTTGGCCATTAGAGAAATACTAATTAAAACTACAAAATACCACTTCTCTCACACTAGGATGGCTATAATAAAAGAGATACGCAGTAAGAAGTGTTGGTCAGGGTGTGGAGAAACTAGTTGCAGCCCCTTCGGATAGCAGTTTGGCAATTTCCTATGGTAAATACAAATTTACCATATTCCTAGGAATAGAGCCATGTGAATTTAAAAAAATATGTCTGTAGGAAACTTGTAAACTAATACTTGTAGCTGCATCATGTAGTTCATGTAGATCTTTGTATCTCTATTCTTGGTGCTAAACTGGACATAACCCAAATTTCCATAAGCTGGTGAATTGATAAACACGGTAGGTTATATCCACACATGAAATCTTACTCAGATATGAAAAGGGACAAAGTACATGCTACAACATGGATGAACCTCAAAAACTGATAAAATGAAAGAAGCCAAGGGGAAAATACCATGTATTGTATGGTTCCATTTGTGTGAAATGTCCTGAAGAGGGAAAACTGTAGGGACAGGAAGTGGATTAGCAGGGGGCTGGGACTTGGGCTGACTGTGGACAGTAGCTGCGAATGGGCACAAGGAGCGCTTTTGGGATGAGGGGAATGTTTAAGATTGGTTAAAATTTACGAAAATAGGTGATTTTATGACCTGTATGTAAATTCCACCTCAATAAAGCTGTTCAAGGCTCCTGAGATGAGACATGAATTCTAAAAGGAAAGTGTGGGAAGAAGTTTATGATTGTGGTTGTGGGCTGGTGCCTTAGAATTTGTTTTTTGTTTTTGTTTGTTTGAGACAGGGTCTTGCTCTGTCATCCAGGCTAGAGTGCAGTGGCTCAGTCTCAGCTCACTACAGCCTCTGCCTCC